TCATCAAAACAGGAGTGGGAATTGTGCAATTCTCCAGATATTGTTGGATTGCAACCCCCAGCATCCCTCACTATTGATTTTCCCAGCTAAGGGCTGCAAGGGCTTGCATTTGCAACAAGGTCAGGAGGCCCATATCACTTCCATCTCTGCATTAGAAATCATGGTTCCCAAGCATTGAGAAACTCTGATGAGAAGAACCCTGGACTGATGAGATCTGGGACTTATTCTCTGCAAAATTCACATGCAGTTGTTTTGCATAGATAACCTTTGGGTAGCCCAGTTGGGTAGCCCAGTTGGGTAGCCCAGTTGGGTTCCCAAACCCAGTTGGGGGAATAGGTGTTTCCCTGCTTAGTCCAAAATTAATCGCCAGCTCCATCTAGATTGGAGAGATGAGCGGGAAAGGAAGAGAGGAACAGTTTGCCACCTTGGAAAGGAAGGCTGGCATCTTCATTGTTGTGTTTTAAAGCAAGTATCATGCACCAGTTAGCCAGAATTTAATCTGGGATTTCTCTGCTGCACTGAAAATGTGTATTTCCAGTCTGTTCTACTGGCTGGTATCAAATTGACATTTGGTCACACACATTTTGGATCTTCGCAGTGGATCGGTAAATCTTTTAAATCAAAGATTGTGGGGGTTTTCATGATGCTTTGCATGCACTGAGTTCACCCAGCGCCATACAAAGGGTCTTTCTGCAAAAGCACAGATCAATGTGTGTGGGTGCATTTGTGTCTGTGCATGGACACAAACGCAGCCCTTCCATACACACAGACCACATTGCCATGTGTGTGTTTGTGCATAACCAGAATTAAGAAGAGCATCTGGTCATTTGGCCGTCTTCCTTGGCCTTTGTAGCTTTTGTCTCTGCATACCCTGTTGCTTTTGGGTGACCAAATGCCAATTTGTATGGCTTACCAGCTCCTTTGATGGAGAAGCCGCAGCACTGGGCCGTATCTGTGGCAAAGGGAACAGAAACAAACACAGTGGAAAACATTACCAAGGAAAGGCATACCATGAAACTATCTAGGCTTTGCTCAGAGTTAAATACTAATTCCCAGGACCACCATAGTTCCGGATGGACTGAGTGTTTGCTAACATTTGGAAAGGGTTCAGCACCCTGGAGAGCTCCTCCATTTTAAGCCTGGCTTAAAATGTGGACTAAATTCACCATTTTATTGACGTGGAATCCCACTAACAATGCTGAAATTCCTCTCCCCGTATGAAAATCTCTGCTTTTGATCAGGGTTGGCTTCTTTAAACCAGGTTGGTTTAAACCAAATGATTTTTTTAAAAAATGTGATTATTCATATATATGTATGAATGTGTGTGTGTGTATATGCATATATATGTATGTATGTGTGTGTGTGTATATGTATATATGTGTGTGTTTGTGTATACATATATATGTATGAATGTGTGTGTGTATATATATGTATATATGTGTGTATATATACATATATATGTATGAATGTGTGTATGTGTATATATATATATATATATATGTATATGTATATATGTGTATATATACATATATATGTATGAATGTGTGTATGTGTATATATATATATATATATGTATATGTATATATGTGTATATATACATATATATGTATGAATGTGTGTATGTGTATATATATATATGTATATGTATATATGTGTATATATACATATGTATATATATGTGTGTGTGTGTATATGTATATATGTGTGTGTGTGTATAATAATATATAAGAATAATAATATTTTTGAAGTAATTTGATTTAAACCAACCTGGTTTAAAGCAGCTAACTCTGATCACTGTTAGTAATAGTAATTATAACCATATAGATATAGATATAGATACTCACACACACACACACACACACACAAAGACACAGATAGATAGATAGATAGATAGATAGATAGATAGGGCTATTATTACTATTTCCCAACCTTCTTACTGGAACAACGACTTTTTGAATTTAAATATTTTAACTTGAACAGCATTTTGGCAGTTTTTCATTGTAAGACTAGTATCCAGGGTCAGTTGCTTCTTTTTTAATCACTTTATTTTATCATGGAAGAAATGCCCTTGAGAAACAAATCTGTCCCTTGACATAGAAGTTCAACCAAAGCAACTTGCTTGCAATTATTCTTTCACACACGGCCATGAAATCTGGAGTGCGTTTTGCAACTTGGTTTTCTGACTTAGTCCTGCGTTGGTGTAGCCTTGCACATTAATGGCATCAAAAAGAAAACAACCGGGAGGGAGGTTTGCTGTGTGTTGTGTTTAGAAACCCTGCTTTTGATGGCAGTAACAACCCTTGTGTCTTCCTTTGCCAGGATTCCTCGTCTTTATGTTCTCAAAAGGGCGGCGTGATCAAACAAGGCTGGCTTTACAAGGCCAACGTCAACAGCACCATCACAGTGACCATGAAGGTAAGATGCCTTTCCTGTCTCCGATGGGTCTCTAAACCAATATCTGATGTGGCAGACCTTTGGCGACCCTAAAGCAAACATATTGTAGGGTTTTCTTCAAAGGGGGTTTGCCATCATGGCCTTCCTCTGAAGCTGAAAGAGTATGAACTTGCCCAAGGTCATCCAGTGGGTTTCCATGGTCGAGGAGGGATTCGAACCCTAGTCTCCAGAGTCCTAGTCCAACACTCAAACTACTACACCATGCTGGCTTTATGCAAAGTTTTTAGCTAGGGAATATCAATGGGAACAGTTGTTATTCCTTTGGATGAGAGATCTCCAAAAGATGCTGTTATTAGAAGCCCTGATCAGGTCTTGCAAACTCAGGGCAACTGAGGTTTCCTTACAAAGCAGGGATTCGAACCCTGATCCCTCAGCATCGTAGTCCAGCATTCAAACCACTACACCATGCTGGCTTTATGCAAAGTTTTTAGCCAGGGAATATCGATGGGAACAATTGATATTGCTTTGGATGAGAGGTCTCCAAAAGATGCTGGTATTTGCAGCCCTGATCAGGTCTTGCAAACTCAGGACAACTGAGGTTTCCTTACAAAGCAGGGATTCGAACCCTGATCCCTCAGCATCATAGTCCAGCATTCAAACCACTGCAGCACAAAGGTGGACAAGGAGCAGTAGTGGGTTTTTATTCATGTTTTGGGGAAAGTGAGACATTTTCTCTCTCTTTAAATCTAATTCTCTATCTCATTGCCATGGAATCCCATTAACAGCTCCCACTTACAATGCTGAATTTCTTCTTCCCATATTAAATCACCTATCCTCTACTTTTGATCAGGGTTGGCTGCTTTAAATCATGGTGTTTTTTTTTTGTTAAAGTCATTTGGTTTGTGATTATAATAATCAATAATCAATCTTTTTATTACAGCCATTCGGCCAGCATAGGTTTATGATTATGATTGTTTGGTTTATGGTTACGAATAAAAACGACAAGAGGGCTCAGATGCCCTAAATGTCCATGAGCTGAATGCATTACAACTGGTGAAGGAAGGCCAAAGGAGCAAATTCCATCCTCGACTATTGAAGTTTTGGCTTTTTTGCTTATGCTTTTTTGCAGGTTTTCAAGAAAAGGTACTTCTACCTCACCCAGCTCCCCGACGGCTCCTACATCCTCAATTCTTACAAAGATGAAAAGACTTCCAAGGAATCCAAAGGCTGCATCTTCTTGGATTCTTGCATTGATGTGGTGCAGGTATTTATTTTATTTTACTTTATTTTATTTTTTTATTTTTTTATTTTATTTTATTTTATTTTATTTCTATGCCGCCTTTCTCCCCAAAAGGGACCCAAGGCGGCTCAAGATATAAAGACGCGTTAAAACAAATTTTTTGAAAGACAATTAAAATAACCTAAAGTAGCATCACTTCCAAAAGGATCTGCTCCTGTTTGTTTGTTTTTCTGATGATGTTTCCCTTTTCTAACAATAAAAACAACAGCAACAACAAAAACACTATATCAGATCTATAGAGCAAGAGTACAAATTAATGCTCAGTTAATTCCAGACTTTTGGAAAATATATTTTTGGGGAAAAAATATAACTCCCAGAATCCCCCAACGTGGGAAAAATTCTGGAAGCTGTTGTCCAAAAATGTTATATTTCTCCCCCTAAGCTGTAGTAAATATCTTTGCCTGTTCATTGATCTGCTCTGGATTATGGGCAGCCCTGTTTTAAATTGGGATGCATCTACGCTGTAGCAATAATGCAGTTTGACACCACTTTAACTGCCGTGGCTCCATCCTACATAATTGTGGGACTTGTAGTTTTTTGAGGCACCAGCACTCTTTGGACAGAGAGGGCCAAAGACCTTGCAAAAATTACAAATTCCAGGATTTCATAGGATGGAGCTAAGGCACTTAAAGTGGTGTCAAACTGCATTATTTCTGCAATGCAGATGCACTCTTGATCCGATCTCAAGCCAGGAGTAGTTCTGCCTTTTGACAAATTCCCTCTGGATTTCTAAATAGATCCCTTTTTAAAGAGATTTGCTCTGTGCTATGGGTAGACTTCTCTTTTAACAGATTCCCTTTGAGATCTGGGTAGATCTGCACAGACCTTTTAATAGATCTGCTTTGAGTTCTGGGTAGAGCTGTCTGACTTCAAGCCAAGTCAAGGCCAAGATATTTCTCTTAACATGCTTCTGGATGACGGCCACGTCTCCATTTTGCATCGTCTCCTCCCGGCTTCCAAAAGGAACCTTGGCTTTTGCTTTGCTTCGTCTTGCATTTCTTTCTGCAGTGTCCGAAGATGCGGCGCAACGCCTTTGAGCTCAAGATGCTGGACAAGTACAGCCACTACCTGGCTGCCGAAAGCGAACAGGAGATGGAGGAATGGTTGGGGACTTTGCGGAAGATCATCCAGATCAATACGGAGAGTTTGGTGCAGGAGAAGAAGGAGGCGGTGGAAGCCCTGCCAGGTTAGCTTTGGAGACCCATCCAGCAAAGCCCAACTTGCAAAAGTCTTCCTTTCCTGGGGAAAACCTCCCTGAGTCTTGTAGCATCTTGAAGATAAACAGATTTTCATGCAAGACTGTCCACTCCCAGGTCAAGAGGACCACCTTGGAAAATGTGTGTTGTTGTTGTTGTGTGCCTTCAAGATGTTTCCATCTTACAGCGACCCTAAGGCAAACGTATCATGGGGTTTTCTTGGCAAGTTTTTGCAGAGGGTGTGTGCCATTGCCATCCTCTGAAGCTGAGAGAGTGTGACTCACCCGAGGTCACCCAGTGGGTTTACATGGCCAAGCGGGGATTTGAACCCCAGGGTCACAGTCCAATACTCAGACCACCATGCCACGATGGCATACAACAATGGATAACCAGTCACAGCAATATGTAATGATAAAAACACAGGCCTGGAAGTTTCTCCTGCTCAGATCAAGAGGATTTTAATTACTATATGCAAATGTAGCTGAAGGTAAAAATATTTAAAAAAAAGGCAAAGGCAAAGCATCCCAAAACATATCAAGGAAGAGGCAGAGCATCCCAAATCTTCAAGGTTTGTTCTGGAGAAATCCCTCCGGCGCTCGCCTGATTGAGGACCCTTTGGATGCATCCTCTTTCCCTTCGAGGGGTGCCCTCTTGTTCCCTCTGCTTTGCAAAACAACTCACTTAGCAATTCCCATTCCCCTCCAATTTTCCAGGGTTATGTTTGGGAAGGGAGCCCACTTTCCTCCCGCTGCTCCTGGGAAGGAACGGCCTCACCCAAAAGGGCTGGCTGGGTTCCTCTGCCGCAACATCTGCTTTTTGTGACTTTGCAGATGACGAAACCGTCAGCCAGGGGAAGTCGGAGAACATCCTGGAGAGCTTGGAGCGAAGCATGCATCCGGAGCTCATGAAGGTACTCTTGGTGTCTGGAGACCCTGCAAGACGGGGAAAGGGCGGCGGGAGGAGTGGGCAAGGCAAAACACCCGGTCCTCACTTTTGGAAATTCAGCCAAGTCCATCCTTTGCATTTTCGCCCAGGTACCGTTCAGGAGCAATTCAGAGAAATGGGCAGATTGCTTTTGTTTCTCTTGCCAGCATCACTTTCCATTTCTAAGTGAAAGCAAATGCCGGGAAAGCTGGGAGCAGCGCTTCTAAAGAGCAACAATTTTAAATTCTTGCAAATTTTATCTTGCCTTTTAAATTCTGGGTTTGAAAATAAAAACGTGTTCCATGGCAGCTGATGAAATCGTCAGTTTAAAAATAGTTAAGAGTCACGCTGGAGGACCTATAAATTGCCTAGAGAAAGTACTCTGCCATACATTTCCAAATCGCAGAAAAATCACAGAAAGACAGACCAGCCTAATCATAGAAAGGGTACTGTCTTGAGATGGCAGTTCCCAGCATCCCCAACCAGTATGGATCCTGGCCATGTTGGCTAGGGGATTCTGGGTGATGTCACCAAAGGCTGAAGTTCATTTATTAGTCCCAATCAGAATAGATCAATTAAATCAAAGGGAGCATGAGTCCAATTTTAGCTTACATTCCCATTGATTAAAGTGGACTGTGTATTGTGCCAGGGGTCTGTTCCAGGACCCTTTGCGTAATATGACATTTCTGTACATTCTTCAGTGTTGTTTCTTTTACCTAAAATGAATGACAAAGTGTTCTCTCTTAGCATTTTCTAATTCCTCATATCTAACTCTGTGATAGGATTTTGCCAGAATTAATGATAGAGTTGTGCTGGAGGACCAACAAATGCCTAGAGAAGAGTTCTCTCTAGGCATTTTCTTAGTCTTCCAGTGTGACTCTATGGTCAAATTCTGATGGACGTTGGCAGGGACACTGTGCAAACGCAACAAAGAGAGACCCATAGCTCTTCGTTTGCATCGTCCCTTTGACATTTCCAAATCCTCCAAACGGTTGCATTGGATTTTGCAAGCATGGCTTCACTCCAGTTGCTCCAATTTCATTTGCAGCGAGGGTTTGCAGAGAGAGTAAAGCCATTCACTTTCTTTTTATTCTATGTTTGCTTTGGCTTCCAGGGAAAGCCCTTGCAAGAATAAAAAAAATGTTTTGCTAGTGTCAGGGACTGTCCTTGCTTTGTGTGACCTTTTTTTCGGTTTCAGTATGGAAGGGAAACGGAGCAGCTGAACAAACTCAGCAGAAACGACGGGAGACAGAACCTCTTCTCTTTCGATCCAGAAGTTCAGGTACTTTCCAGCTCCAGACTATGTTCCTGCAAAGATATAATAAGGCTTAAAAATGGTGCGCTTGGCCATATTTTCGCCCAACAAAAAGACTCCCTAGATATTATTTCCTAATATCAGAAATGAGCCACTACCTGGCACCATATTACAGTTGAAAGGACATAGTGCAAAAGGAAAAAAAGGGATGAGGAGGGAGAAGGAAAAAAGAAAAGTGTGGCTTTTCTCCCTTTCTTTCATCTTGGAAAAAAAATTCCTAGTCATTTGTGGGGAAGGGAATCAATATATGGTCCAAAATGATTCCCACCTTTTGATTTCATAAATCTCTGAGAAAATATTCTGATTCCTTCAACCACAGCAGATCTTGAAATCAGTTTTTCTCAGCCGTGGATGTGTTGACAGGGAACAATGGGAGTTGCAGTCCAATGCACCCAGAAAATAGGGGATGAAGAAGGCTACTTTAAATCAGACATATCTACGTACACACAGAGAGTGGTCCAAGAGGACTTCCATTTGTGATTTTCTCCTCTCTCTTTCTAATGTCTTTTTAGGCTCAAAGGTGTTTCTAAACTACACAGCTATAACAGTTCGATACTACTTCACCTGCCATGGCTCCCTTCTATGGAGTCCTGGGATCTGCAGTTTGCTAGGGCTTTGGAATTGTATAGTTCTTTTAAATTGTAAGCTGCTCTGAATCCCAGGTTTGGAGAAAAAGGGGGATACAAATACATTATTATTATTATTATTATTATTATTATTATTATTATTCTCTGCCAG